ACCTCTCATAATTACAAAAAAATGAACAAAATGAAAAATTATGATTGACTGAATAAGGTTTTCTTGGTTTTTACAAATTGAATGGTTTTTATTTGTACAAATATATATATATATATATATATATATATATATATATATATATATATATATATATATATATGGGTACAACTTAAAAGTACAAGAAATGTGTAGTTAAAAAGGGTTAAGGTTATTTGTTGAGTTTGATGGATTTACATTAATTTTATTTGTAAATATTTTCTTTTCTTATCATGCATTTAAAATTGTTAGTTATATTAAATAGTTTGTATTTGAAACACTCTATATATATATATATATATATATACATACAAGAAAGGTACTCGTTCAATGCATCGAGACACATTTTTATTTCAACGTTTCGTTTTATTTTTTATCCATGTCGATATAATACGATTTTATATGGTTTTGAAAAAACGATAAAGTTTCTAATTTGAAATAAAATATAAATTTGGAAATATCATATAAAAGTTCTTGTTTGTTTATTTTTTCTAATTCAAATTTTTTATTATAATTTAATTTAACGTAACGAAGTAATTTAATTTAAGTTTAATAACATTTTTTTTATAAAGATAATAATTAAATATTCTGTTAGAACTCAATAATTATCTTAATTATATTTTAGATTTTTTAGATTTTAAAATGAGATGTTTATCCTCTATTTGATTATGTTTATCCGCAGTTAGTTACACGAATTCAAACATAAAGTTTTAAGAAGTTGTATTTATGCACAATATACTTGTAATATTGAATTGTAAGTAATATGCATCAATAAACAGTACTTTATGCATAAAAAATGGTTTTTAAGAGTTTTTGTCAAATGCTTTATAATATAGTGTATATATATACATATATATATATATATTATATAGAATTGAGATCATGTGAGAACAAAGGTTTTTTGTAAGACCCGTAAGACCAATTCTCAACCCTTGAATTAGATCTACAATCTGAATATTCATAATCACAAAATTGCCACGAGACTTCTCAATAATCACAAAATTGTCAT